TTTTCAAAGAGAACATCACAATGTTTTTTTAAAAATGTTGTTTTGCTAAAACCCCAAATTTCTTTCTATCTATCTATCTATCTATCTATCTATCTATCTATCTATCTTATCAAAACAAACAAAAAAACAAACAAACAAACAAACAAACACAAAATTCAACCCAAAATTTCCAGCCAGGCTTAAGCATTAAAAAAGGGTTGGGGAACTTGCTGTTTTCTAATAACACCATACTTGGAAGCCCATTGATGCTATTGCATCTGTTTTGATTTATGTTTCAAAGGAAAGTAAAACTGAGTAAACGGCAAAGCTGCTACCCACAGAATTTGTTTTATACAGAGAGGTGAATGAAGCAGCCAAAGCCTGTCTATCCTGACATGGCCGATAGATGGACATGGAGAAGGCCAGTGGGCATCGAACCTTCGTGTTCCAGCACTATATCCAGTATCCAGCACTGATGCCATTTGAGCACACATACTGTAACTAGGTGCACAGAACATACACATAGCAAGACACAACCCAGCCCTCAAAGAGCTCACAGGGAAGTAGATAAAGCAGAGAAAGATATGGAAAACTGGGGCACGGAGAAGGGAAGTGGCTGGCCCAAGGTCACACAGAAGGTCAGTGGCAGAGACAAGGATAGACCCCAAGTCTCCTGACCGTCACACAGAGCAGACACAAATTCACAGAGGCAAACGATTCAACACAGCAGTAAGTGAGCGATGCTACTAACTTATCAGCTCATAGCTGTGTAAGTGTAGCTGGCACTGTGTGCCATACATCAATGTATGAACAGAAAGCAAGCTGTCTATGTGGTGCTGGGGTGGAATAATCACAGACAAATTGCCATGTATGACACTGGGGGAGTCTATGTCATATTTCCCTGGAAAATGGAAATCAGGCTATGCTGGTGTTTTAGAATTTCAGTTCCATGCCCAGACTGAGAGCCTGCTGTTGGTCACAATAGAGGGCCATTTTTTGCTAGGACTGTTGGATTTGGCTTGTCCAACCGAACCACCATGATCGAGTTCCTTCTCCTGGGTTTCTCTGATGTTCAAAAGCTTCAGATTTTGCACTTTGTGGTGTTTCTGGTGCTTTACCTTGCAAGCCTAATGGGGAATCTTCTCATCATCACAGCCATAGCCCTTGACCACCATCTTGATAGCCCCATGTACTTCTTCCTGGTGAATCTGTCCATTCTGGACCTTGGCTCCATCTCTGTCACCATCCCCAAATCCATGGCCAATTCCCTCATGAACACCAGATTTTCTTATTCCGGATGTATCACCCAAGTCTTTCTTCTCTTATTCTTTGCTTCAGCAGATTCTGCCTTACTGACCATCATGGCGTATGACTGATACATGGCTATCTGCCAACCACTTCACTATAAGACTGTGATGAACAGAAGAGCATGTGTCCAAATGGTGGCCATTGCCTGGATTTGCAGTAATCTGTATTCTGCTCTGAACACTGAGAACACGTTTGTGTTAACTTTCTGTGGAGGCAACGTGGTGTACCAATTCTTCTGTGAAATCCTCCAGCTATTCAAACTCACCAGCTCTGACTCGTACCTCAGTGAAACTGGGGTTATTGTCTTTAGTGTGTGCTTAGTCTTAAGTTGCTTTTTTAAATAATTGTGTCTTATGTTCAGATCTTCAAAACTGTGCTGAGAATCCCCTCTGAGCAGGGCCGGCGTAAAGCCTTCTCCACCTGCCTCTCTCACTTCACTGTGATCTCCTTGTTCCTTTTCCCTGGCACATTTGCCTACCTGAAACCCATCTCCAGCTCCACATCAGGTCTGGATCTTGTGGCATCGATTCTCTATTCTGAGGTGAATCCAATCATCTACAGTATAAGGAACAAGGAGATTAAAACTGCCCTGTGGAAAATGATTGGATTGAGGCAATTCACCAAGAATAAAATGTCTGCCTTTTCCCCATAACCATAGTGTCATTCTGTGTTTCTTTATAAATATAATCTACTGTTGACATTATTTTCTCCATGAGAACGTAGCATGCAATCTATGTATGAAAATTGGGGTATTTACACTGGCAAAATCTAGTCAATGAAATTGATCTATGTTTGCACCAGCATAAATAGGTTACGAAATCTATCTATCTATCTATCTATCTATCTATCTATCTATCTATCTATCTAATGATTTTATAAAGCCACCCATCACTATCTGATCAGTAGCCATAGCAAAGTCTCTAGTGTACAACCTGGAATCTCTGTCTCTTTATTTTTGGGGATAAAAACAGCTGTTTGTTTTTTGCTTATCTCTGTTTCTTAGTTTAGATTTTTTTTGTAATTGATTTGTTGATGGGTTGAGTTGTTTCTTTCTTCCAGATGTTTCTGCGGAGATGATGAGTGTTTGGTTAGATGAGGTTGTCAATGTTTGTCATCTATGGGGTGTGCCCATTTGTCATTAACAGCATTTTGGGCTGTATAAGTGGGGGCATTGCCAGCAGATCGAGGGATGTGATCATTCCCCTCTATTCGACATTGGTGAGGCCTCATCTGGAGTACTGTGTCCAGTTTTGGGCCCCACACTATAAGAAGCATGTTGAAAAATTGGAAAGAGTCCAGCAGAGGGCAATAAAAATGATTAAGGGGCTGGGGCACATGACTTATGAGGAGAGGCTGAGGGAACTGGGATTGTTTAGGCCGCAGAAGAGAAGAATGAAGGGGGATTTGATAGCTGCTTTCAACTACCTGAAAGGGGGTTCCAAAGAGGATGGATCTAGACTGTTCTTAGTGGTAGCAGATGACAGAAGAAGGAGTAATGTTCTCAAGTTGCAGTGGGGGAGGTTTAGGTTGGATATTAGGAAAAACTTTTTCACTAGGAGGGTGGTGAAGCACTGGAATGGGTTACCTGGGAAGGTGGTGGAATCTCCCTCCTTAGAGGTTTTTAAGATCAGGCTTGACAAAGCCCTGGCTGGGATGATTTAGTTGGGGATTGGTCCTGCTTTGAGCAGGGGGTTGGACTAGATGACCTCCTGAGGTCCTTTCCAACCCTGATATTCTATGATCTCTTTGACGGGGTTTTCCGAGTGAGCCATAGGTTTGCTCAGCTTAGCTATTATCATTATTATTAGTATTATTAAAAGTTTTAAAACTAACTAAAAGTTATGTCATTCTTACTAGGCTGGAAGACGCGATTTTGATGAAGAAGGTTTCCTGTTGTTTCCCAAAGAATATCTGACTTGCAATAATGAGGCCAAATCTGGATCCCATTGAAGTCACTTCGGTTTAGCCATTCACTTCAACGAGATCAGGAGTTGGCCAATGGCTTGGAAACAAAAAGACCCAGTTTTTTCTAATGTCAGCCTAGAGAAAGTCAGCGTGACAGAGATGTAAGGGTAAAATTTCCCATGTCAGCTATACTAGCACCAAAGCAGAGAAGTTCCATTGACATCACCAATTTAATGCCAATGAAGTTGTGGCCAAAGATTCTGGGCTAAACTCAGTATTGCTATAAACATTGATGTATGTTACTTGTGATAGCTAGGCTTAGAAGGATTAGATTTTTATTGATAAATGTTTATACGGAAGTAAGAGGACCAAAAACAAGTCACCATGGCTAAATAGCAAAGTAATATAAGTAGTTAGAGGCAAAAAGTCATCCTTTAAACACTGGAAGTTAAATCCTACTGTGGAAAATCGTAAGGAGAATAAACTCCTGCAAGTCAAGTATTAAAGTATAATTAGGTAGGCCAAACAATAGAACAACAGAACTTCACAGTTTGAATCCATGGCACAGAGAGGGGGGGCTATTGAAAAGCGGGGTTCTGTTCTGTGCTAGGAGAGGTTGGCCATGGCCAGAAGTAAAAAGGACTTGCTGAGGGTAAGGAGGACTCTGCCCAGCCGGAAACACTGATGGATCTCAGACTCCCAGAAGGGGTGAGATCAGAGCAAGGGAGGGGACATCTCAGGACACTGCTGTTTTCAAATAATGTCTAACACACAAGAGCTTTAAAAGTAAAGTTTCTGTATTTAAGAAATTCTTTAGCTCAGCCTGTATTCCCTGTTTTGCTGCTACATTTTCCCTGAAAGGGTTAAACTAGATGCCCAAAGTCACCACAATCTAGGTGGAGCTTGGGGCGGGGGAGGATGTGTGTGTAAGCTGCTGTGGGGGTTGGAAGAACTCAGAAACTTTTTTGGAGGTCCAGGGCAGATGGATGGAGAAAAATCCACCCCCCTGAATGACGCAGCTATACCGACCTAACCCCACGTGTGGACAGTGCTATGTTGACGGGAACCGGCTTTGAACATATCAGCTTGGACAATTAGAGAGAGATCCAAAACCTTCTCAACATTGAGGGCCTTGGAAACTTCATCTGGGTGTTACCAATGTCTCCTTTCTTAGCAATGGGCCGAACACAGACTCCAGTATCAAATGGACATGAGCTTTGGGCATTCAAAATCTAGGACTGGAAAGTGTCGGGGACAATTTCCTGGTGCAAGTGCTGGAGGAACCAACTAGGGGCAGAGCTGTCAATTTGATGTTGTCAAGGCTGCTTCCCCACTCTGAACTTTAGGGTACAAATGTGGGGGCCTGCATGAAAACTTCTAAGCTTAACTACTAGCTTAGATCTGGTCTGCTGCCACCACTCCCAAAGTGCTAATTCCCTTCCCTGGGTAGCCTTGAGAGACTCTTCACCAATTCCCTGGTGAATACAGATCCAAACCCCTTGGATCTTAAAACAAGGAGAAATTAACCATCCCCCTCCTTTCTCCCACCAACTCCTGGTGGATCAAGATCCAACCCCCTTGGATCTAAAAACAAGGAAAAATCAATCAGGTTCTTAAAAAGAAGGCTTTTAATTAAAGAAAAAGATAAAAATCATATCTGTAAAATCAGGATGGAAAATAACTTTACAGGGTAATCAAACTTAAAGAGTCCAGAGGAATCCCCTCTAGCCTTAACCCATGCTGACTGTTCCTGATCACTTTCCTCTCCTCTACGTGCTTTAGAATTGGGGGGGTCCCTGCCCTTCCCTCTATGGCAGCTGGTCCATCCAGGAGTTATTTCTCTGAGCAGGGCTGTTCCCAGGAACCTGGGGAAAAGGCACATTTAGACCCATCAAGCTCTGCTGACTCTCAGGGCTGGGTTCAGACACTCCAGGGCCATGCATGGGGCTCTGCCCCCCTGACTCTGTGCTTCACGTGGAATGGCTGGGATCATCATGGGACCAGCACAATTTAAAATTGATGAATTCATGAACTTTTGACTCTGGGCCTCTGCTTCCGAGCTGGGCAGGGTTCCAGGGAATGAGTCCCTCCAGCCCTTACAAATTAGACATGGATACATCACCTTCCTGCAGTGTTGGTTGTCTAATGCCGGTGACGTTCAAAGCCAGCTACACACAGCTCATCTGCAGAGAGCAACAGTCAGTTCTGTCTCAAAGGGGGGTTATGTAGGAATAACACCTCCCCGAGTTATGGGAGCTAGATCATCACACATATTTTTCCATTGATTTTGCTCCATCTACACCAGGGGTGAAAGCAGAATAGCTACACCACTCCGGGGTGTGATTTTATAGCCCTGAGTGGTATAGCTATGTTGATCTAAGTTTTAATTGTTGAGCAGGTAAGAGTTCTTCTGTGAAATCCCCCAGCTACTCAAGCTCTTCTGCTCTGAATCATACCTCAGTGAAGTTGGTATTCTTGGCTTTAGTGCATGTTTGCTATTAAGCTGCTTTGCTTTAATAATTGTGTCATATGTTCACATTTTCATGACAGTGCTGAGAATCCCCTCTGAGCAGGGCTGGCATAAAGCCTTCTGCACCTGTCTCCCTCACCTCACTGTGGTCTTCTTGTTCTTTTGCACTGGCAGCTTTGCCCATCTGAAACCTACCTCCAGCTCAGCATCAGGGCTGGATCTCGTGGTGGCTGTTTTGTATTCTGTGGTGCCTCCAACGATGAATCCAGTCATCTACAGCATGAGGAACAAGGAGAACAAAGCTGCCCTGAGGAGATTGACTGTGTGGAAGTTATTCACCAAGAATAATATGTTTGTCTTTCTCCCGTGACTGTCATTTTATTCTGTGTTTCATTATAGCTACATTCAACTGATGGAAATATTCTTTCCATGGGAAAATCGCCTGCAATGTGTTTTTGTAGTGGTTAAAGTCCAGATTAATTCCACTGAAGTCAGTGGAGTTACTGTAGAATTAAACAGTGTAAATAAGGTCAGAACCTATCTATTAATCCAATTTAAGGATTTATATAGCTGCCATCACTACATCATCAGAGCACCATACACATTAAATCAGTAGCTACAGCAAAGTCATTAGTCAACTTTATCTACTCTCTGGCTCATCTCTTTTGGGGGGAGGGAGGGGTAAAATTTATGTTTGGGATAAGAGATGTTTTATTTGCTTGATTGTCTCTGTTCCTTGGTTTGTTTTGCTGGTTGGTCTGTTTCCTGTGAATTGCAGAGGGTGGGGTATGTTTGCTTAGAAGCATGTGTCTTTTCCCCTCTTTCTTTGTTGTTCTCGCCTTGTATTGGGGGTGTCAGTGTGTCATGCCTTTCATGGGGGGGGGGGGGGTTCAAGACAGCTCAACTTTTGATTCCCATGCTGATCAAGAGATGGGAAAGAATTTCTATAGGTATAGGGTAGCTGAGTTTCTGTTCAAATGATGGGGTTTTAGTCTGTTAGTAATGATGTGTCTGAGCACAGTTTTCTTTGTTCCTGCTGTGCTAAATAAATTATATTTGTGCACATAACATAAGTGAGATTAAAGGAAAGTGTGATAGATAGATAGATAGATAGATAGATAATCCATTTAAATTACTGTGCTTCAGCTTCTTTCCGGCCCACATAATGATTTTCTTAAAAGTATTAATTTGTCACCATTATTCACCACAGAATTTCTGTGACCATTTCGTACACCAGTGCTCATTTACAATAAGGTCTTGATTACTATTAAGTGTTTGAACTTTTAGCTATTTCATCTGGTTACATTTTAACATGCTCTGATTATCTTTCCTGACCAGATACATTGACAAATTATAATCCAGATTCTTGAAAATGGAAAGGCAGATTGTCAGTTGGTATAAATCATAGAATCATAGAATATCAGAGTTGGAAGGGACCTCAGGAGGTCATTTATTCCAACCCCCTGCTCAAAGCAGGACCAATTCCCAACTAAATCATCCCAGCCAGGGCTTTGTCAAGCCTGACCTTAAAAACCTCTAAGGAAGGAGATTACACCGCCTCCCTAGGTAACCCATTCCAGTGCTTCACCGCCCTCCTAGTGAAAACGTTTTTCCTAATATCCAATCTAAACCTCCCCCACTGCAACTTAAGACCATTACTCCTTGTTCTGTCATCAGGTACCACTGAGAAAAATCTAGATCCATCCTCTTTGGAACCCCCTTTCAGGTAGTTGAAAGCAGCTATCAAATCCCCCCGTCATTCCTCTCTTCTGCAGACTAAGCAATCCCAGTTCCCTCAGCCTCTCCTCATAAGTCATGTGCTCCAGCCCCCTAATCATTTTTGTTGCCCTCCGCTGGACTCTTTCCAATTTTTCCACATCCTTCTTGTAGTGTGGGGCCCAAAACTGGACACAGTACTCCAGATGAGGCCTCACCAATGTCGAATAGAGGGGAATGATCACGTCTCTCGATCTGCTGGCAATGCCCCTACTTATACAGCCCAAAATGCCATTAGCCTTCTTGGCAACAAGGGCACACTGTTGACTCATATCCAGCTTCTCATCCACTGTAACCCCTAGGTCCTTTTCTGCAGAACTGCTTCCTAGACATTCGGTCCCTAGTCTGTAACAGTGCATGGGATTCTTCCATCCTAAGTGCATGACTCTGCACTTGTCCTTGTTGAACCTCATCAGGTTTCTTTTGGCCCATTCCTCTAATTTGTCTAGGTCCCTCTGTATCCTATCCCTACCCTCCAGCGTATCTACCACTCCTCCCAGTTTAGTGTCATCTGCAAACTTGCTGAGAGTGCAGTCCATGCCATCCTCCAGATCATTAATGAAGATATTGAACAAAACCGGCCCCAGGACCAACCCCAGGGGCACGCCACTTGAAACCGGCTGCCAGCTAGACATGGAGCCATTGATCACTACCCGTTGAGCCCGATGATCTAGCCAGCTTTCTATCCACCGTATAGTCCATTCATCCAAACCATAATTCTTTAACTTGGTGGCAAGAATACTGTGGGAGACCGTATCAAAAGCTTTGCTAAAGTCAAGGAATAACACATCCACTGCTTTCCCCTCATCCACAGAGTCAGATATCTCCTAATAGAAGGCAATTAGGTTAGTCCGGCAAACTTGCCTTGGTGAATCCATGCTGACTGTTCCTGATCACTTTCCTCTCCTCTACGTGCTTTAGAATTGATTCCTTGAGGACCTGCTCCATGATTTTTCCAGGGACTGAGGTGAGGCTGACTGGCCTGTAGTTCCCCAGATCCTCCTTCTTCCCTTTTTTAAAGATGGGCACTACATTAGCCTTTTTCCAGTCATCCAGGACCTCCCCCGATCACCATGAGTTTTCAAAGATAATGTCCAATGGCTCTGCAATCACATCCGCCAACTCCTTTAGCACCCTTGGATACAGCGCATCCAGCCCCATGGACTTGTGCTTTTCCAGTTTTTCTAAATAGTCCCGAACCATTTCTTTCTCCATAGAGGGCTGGTCACCTTCTCCCCATACTGTGCTGCCCAGCCGGAGCTGACCAGTCTGGGAGCTGACCTTGTTCGTGAAGACAGAGGCAAAAAAATCATTGAGTACATTAGCTTTTTCCACATCCTCTGTTACTAGGTTGCCTCCCTCATTCAGTAAGGGGCCCACACTTTCCTTGACTTCCTTCTTGTTGCTAATGTACCTGAAGAAACCCTTCTTGTTACTCTTAACATCTCTTGCTAGCTGCAACTCCAAGTGTGATTTGGCCTTCCTGATTTCACTCCTGCATGCCTGAGCAATATTTTTATACTCCTCCCTGGTCATTTGTCCAATCTTCCACTTCTTGTAAGCTTCTTTTTTGTATTTAAGGTCAGCAAGGATTTCACTGTTAAACTAAGCTGGTCGCCTGCCATATTTCCTGTTCTTTCTACACATTGGGATGTTTTTTTCCTGCAACCTCAATAAGGATTCTTTAAAATACATCCAGCTCTCCTGGACTCCTTTCCCCCCCATGTTATTCTCCCAGGGGATCCTGCCCATCAGTTCCCTGAGGGGGTCAAAGTCTGCTTTTCTGAAGTCCAGGGTCTGTATTCTGCTGCTCTCCTTTCTTCCTTGTGTCAGGATCCTGAACTCAAACATCTCATGGTCACTGCCTCACAGGTTCCCATCCACTTTTGCTTTCCCTACTAATTCTTCCTGGTTGGTGAGCAGCAGGTCTAGAAGAGCTCTGCCCCCAGTTGGTTCCTCCAGCACTTGCACCAGGAAATTGTCCCCTACACTTTCCAAAAACTTCCTGGATTGTCTGTGCACTGCTGTATTGCTCTCCCAGCAGATATCAGGGTGATTGAAGTCTCCCATGAGACACCAGGGCCTGCGATCTAGTAACTTCTGCTAGTTGCCAGAAGAAAGCCTCGTCCACCTCATCCCCCTGGTCTGGTGGTCTATAGCAGACTCCCACCACAACATCACCCTTGTTGCTCACACTTCTCAACTTTATGCAGAGACTCTCAGGTTTTTCTGCAGTTTCATACCGGAGCTCTGAGCAGTCATACTCCTCTCTTACATACAATGCAACTCCCCCACCTTTTCTGCCCCGCCTGTCCTTCCTGAACAGTTTATATCCATCCATGACAGTACTCCAGTCATGTGAGTTATCCCATCAAGTCTCTGTTATTCCAATGACATCATAGTTCCTTGACTGTGCCAGGACTTCCAGTTCTCCCTGCTTGTTTCCCAGGCTTCTTGCATTTGTGTATAGGCACTTAAGATAAATCGCTTATTGTCCCGCTTTCTCAGTCTGAGACAGGAGTCCTCCCCTCTTGCACTCTCCTGCTCGTGCTTCCTCCCGGTATCCCATTTCCCCACTTACCTCAGGGCTTTTGTCTCCTTCCCCCAGTGAACCTAGTTTAAAGCCCTCCTCACTAGGTTAGCCTGCCTGCTTGCGAAGATGTTCTTCCCTCTCTTCGTTAGATGGAGCCCGTCTCTGTTTAGCACTCCTCCTTCTTGGAACACCATCCCATGTTCAAAGAATCCAAAGCCTTGTCTCCGACACAATCTGCGTAGCCATTCGTTGCACCTCAAACTCCTTTATCCTTCTTCCCAGAGCCACATAGTCTGCAGTGAGATGCTCAAGGTCATTCTTGGAAGTATCATTGGTGTCCATGTGGAGAAGTAGGAAGGGGTGGTGGTCCGAGGTCTTGATCAGTCTCGGCAGACACTCCGTCACATCCTGGATTCTAGTTCCAGGCAAGAATGAAATGAGAGAAGTCCCATGGAAGGCTTACAGCTAAACATACGTTAAGTGCCATTTTTTTGTTTTGTTTTTGGATTGGGGGTATGGATGTGATTTTCAACTGGGCCTATTGGAATTAGAAACCCAACTCTTAAGTATTGCCCAAAGTCACTAAATATGCCAGTGGCAAAAAAAGGAGCCAAAGCCCATGGGAGTTACATTAGGGGGTGCAGAACAAAAGTTACATTTGCAAACATGACTCCAAATAATTATTTCAAATATTGTCTTAGTAACAACAAGACATCAAATACAAACATTGATGGATCCCTAAAATGACCTGGAGCTGTCACACAACACACTGATGTAGTGTATGCCCCAGCTTTAAATTCATCCCTACATAACCCACCACAATGTTTGATTGGCAACAATTGTCCATCTTGATGGATATCACAGTCTCCATGGAGAGAACATGAAGTGACTGGGTCTGGGAGATTGAACTAACCTCTCCCACTTCTGAGATGGTACCTCATGATCATGACTGGTCCTTGGTCTCTGCTGAGGCTGCTCACATGGGGTCGAAAGACTCTAGTTTGGATGGTTGGATATTTGGTGAGTGCACTCATGACATGTCCAAGGAGTTGATGCACAACACCAATCTTTTTATTTGTATTTCTAGTACTTCCTTTTTATTCCCCATATCTCTCACATTAGAAAACATACATCTAAGGTGTCTGTTAGATTTCCCCTCTGTGTTCCCTCTTGTGTCTCCTTTGTTCATGATGTGATGTCCCATGTTTCCCCCAGATTCCAACCCTTCACCCAGGTCTCCATGTCCTGGACTACCTGTGGGATTTTGTTTCCTGCCCCCTTCAGACTTAGTTTAAAGCCAGCCTCACTAGGTTAGCCAGACTGTACCCAAAGATATTTTGCTGTTTCTTCAATAGATGGACCCCAACTCTGCTCAGCAGTCCTTCTTCTCAGAACAGTATCCCATGGCTTATTGAAGCTGAAGCCCTCCTGGTCACACCATCTGCGCAACCAGGCATTCACCTCCTGGATGTATCGGTCTCTGCCTGGGCCCCTACCCTCATCTGGGAGGACCAAAAATAACACCACCTGCCCCCAGCTCCTTCACTCTCACTTCCAGAGCCTAGTAGTCACAGCTGATCTGCTCAGGGTCATGCCTCGCAGATATCATTACTTCCCACATAGATGTAGTAATGGTCGTTAGGGGGCCGGATGATCCTCAAGAATCATTCCATAATGTCTCAGAAACAGGCCTCTGGCAGACAGTACACCTTTTGGGAATCCAGGTCAGGCAGGCAGATGGCCAGAGTCAATAAAGCGACCCTTCCAGTCAGGGCAGCATGACCTAAAGTCCAGAATCAATACAGTTGCCCCACTCTATGGGATTGTGTGGCCTATTGGCCCATTGGGGAAGTGAGGCACCACTGAGGGGTTTGTGGTGCCCAGGGTAGGGGAACTCAGGCCCTTCCTTCTCCGAGTCCCAGCCCAGGGCCCTGGCGGTGGTGGGGGTGCTCACCACCGAGTCAGCGCACATCCTCCTGAAACACGCTGACTGGTTCCCCAGTTCACTCACTGGAGAAAATCTAAGTCTCCTGGGCTGCTTTCTACCCTTTCTCCCCGGCGATTCTCCACAGCTCCCCCGGGTCTCTGGGTCTTCAAGTGGCATAGCTCCTGTCAGTGCGGACTCTTCTCTGGGCTCCTCAGGCAGTCTGGGGTCAGTCTGGAGCTCTGCGTGCTTTGGGTCTGTATTTGGTGTCTGGAGCAGCTCCCTGGAGACAGCCTGCACTCTGCATCCTCCGTTTCAGCAGCCTGCCCCCACTGAGTTGGGCTGCTCCCCTTTATACTCTGCCTCCAGGCTGAACATGCCCAGCGGAGTCAGAGAGCCGGGGCTTCCTCAGCCTGAAAAGCACAATTGACCCTTTAGGGGCTAGTTAAAGGTAGGTACAGCCCATCACACCTGGTCAGAAGCCTCACCGGTGAAAGTTTATTACCCAATCTGCCACTTCTACAAAGGAAAGTTGACATGCACCAGCTTCATTACACTGAGCAGATTCCCAAAGCACTTCAAGCATAACACACTGTTTTAGGTAAAACATAAAACAGATTTATTAACTACAGCAAGATAGATTTTAAGTGATTATAAGTAATAAACATAAAGATCAAAGTTGGTTACCCAATAAATAAAAGCAAAATTACAATCTGAGTTCTATAAACTAGACAGGATTTGACTCAAACAATGTCTCACCATGATGGTATAGTTCCTTCAGGCACAGGCTGGGATTCCTCTTTTTAGCCTGGGACCATCTCCCCCGTTCAAAGCCTTTGTCCACAAGATGTCTTTACAGGTGTTGAGTTGTGGGGGGAATGAGACCAAGCAATGATGTCACTTCCCCCTTTATAGCTTCCTCCAGCTTGCTGGAAAGATCCTTTGATATGATGCGCGTAAAGCAGTCTCCATTCTCTATGTGCTCCCTCTGAGAAGCCTTCATTGTATACAGATCCTGTGATGGTCCTTGGTAGTGTGGATTTCCCTTAATCGCCATCTATGCTGGCTGTCTTCTCTAGTCTTCTACCTGAAAGGCTGGTTGTGGGTGTTTCCAATCTTACAATATATTTCAGTAACACACACACAGCAAGCTTCATAACATCCCATACAGTGATAGCACATACAGAGCAACAGGATATTAATATTCTTTTGATATTAAGATTTTTGAAATGATACCTCACAAGGTACAAAACCTATCATAGTCATATCCCATGGAAAATATTGGGGTGCCAGGGTACTACTTTGGAGCACAGAGATTAGCAGGGACATGATAGCAATTTCCAAGTACATAAAAGATTGTTGCAAGGAGGAGGGAGAAAATTTATTCTCCTTAACCTCTGAGGAGAGGAAAAGAAGCAATGGGCTTAAATTACAGAAAGGGTGGTTTAGGTTGAATATTAGGGAAAACTTCTTAACTCTCAGGATGGTTAAGCACTGGAATAAATTGCCTAGGGAGGTTGTCGAATCACCATCATAGGAGATTTTTAAGAGAAATTTATTCAAACACCTGTCAGGGAGGGTCTAGATAATACTTAGTCCTGCCATGTATGCAGGGAACTTGACTGGTCCTACGATTCTATGATTCTAGGATAAATATAGAAATAGGGCCCCGTTGCAGTTATATGATGGTCACCATCTTGGCTGGTACCATGTAGTTGCATCAGGGACCCCAGCTATAAGGTTGCAGCTTGATCTAAAGAGGCAGGCTCCCTGGTAGGGGTGTGATGGGCTCTGGAGATTGGGCGCAGAAGGGATTTGTAACACACAAATACCGGTGGGTGGCATATGTACGAGTGACTCTGTGTGGCTGCTTTATCTGAACTGAAATCACCTCCCACATCCTGGAGGCCTGGGCAGTCCAGACATTCCCACTAATCCCATGTCATTGTTATTGCAGTTTATTCTTAGGTACACATGGTCACTCAGATTCTCACACTCCAGAAATGTGCTCGTTACCCAGGCTAACACATTGTGGCTCCTTATCCCCCTCTAGTGGTCAGAGCTCGTACAGCAGCTTATGAGTCTGCTGTTTTCTCTGTACTAGTTCACATAGTGCTTGTAGCAAAGGCAGTATGGAATCCTCCTTGAAAATCGACAGGCCCTGTGTTCAAGCCATATGTAGCTTCTATCAAAGGACATTGTCATCTAGTGCCACACAATAGAGTACAGCCAAACACACACACTACTACACAGCCCACATATACACAAACACACAGTAGTGTGTCTGCATGCAAGCACACAATCATGTTCAGGTCACGTACACATGCAAAACCACAACAGTGTCTACTCTAGATTTACACTGATATAATCAGCATGCAGCTCTAAAGGCTTATCTGCAAAGTGAGAGGGAAGCCTAACTCACAACAATGTGGCCATCAACCAAGAGTATTAATAGATTCCAAGGCCAGAAGGGACCATTGTGATCGTCCAGTCTGACTTCTTGACCACAAAACTTGGTAAATGGTTCCAGTGGTTAAGAATTTACACCGTATTTTAGTCTGAATTTGTCTAACTTCAACTTTCAGTCTTTGGATCATGTTATACCTTTGGCTGCTAGACTGGAGAGCCCATTATGAAATATTTGTTTCCGTGTAGGTATTTGTATACTGTGGTCAAATCAGCCCTTAACGTTCTCTTTGTTAATCTGAATAGATTGAGCTCCTTGAAAAATGTACATGTCAGATCCACAGCTTGTTTAAATTGGCGTGATAGCATTGGCGTCAATGGGCCCAGTCCCTGGCAGGTGTAAATGTATGTAGCTCCATTGAAATCAGGAAGCCAGATCCTCATATGGGGTAAATTGGTTAAGCACTATCAAAATGAATAGAACTACAGTGGTTTGCTAAGGATCTAGCCCTAAATGTTAAGGTCTCATTATTTTCTCACATATGCCAGTTTGATGCCAGTCTGACTCCATTGATACCATGTGAAACAGCCTTCCTAAGTGAGCAGTGGGGGCAAAAAACCTATCTGGCTTCAAGACTGAGCTTGATAAGCTTATGGAGGGGATGGTCTGATGAGACTGGCTACAGTGGAATGTGGCCCATCTGCAACTGCCAGTAGCAAAAATCCCCAACTCCTGGAGATGGTACACTAGATGGGGAAGAGTCTGAGTTACTACAGATAATTCTTTCCCAGGTATCTATCTAGTGGGTCAGATTTATTGCTGTAGTTAATAAATCTGATCACCATATTTGGAGTCAGATTGGCAGAGACCCTGGGGGATTTTCACCTTCCTCTGCGCCACAGGGCATGGGTCACATGCATGTTTAAACTAGTGTAAATGGTGAATTCTCTGTAATTAGAAGTGTTTAGACCATGATTTGAAGATGTCACTAATTCAGGCACAGGCTAAGCGTCTATTACAGGAGTGGGTGGGTGAGGTTCTGAGACCTGCAATGTGCAGAAGGTCAGATTAGATTATCACGATGGACCCTTCTGACCTTAAAGTCTCTGGGTCCTGATTTATATGCACAAGGGAAAGAAGCTCCCATCCTTGCTTTCTAGTGTCCATAGAACAGGTGTAAGTGGCAACACAGTTTAATAGGCATTGCTTGGGCACAGAATGAAAGGCTGATTCTTCCCTCCCATGAAATACACACCAGCTTAACTCCAGGATTGGGTCAGATCTTTTGCTGATGTAAACCAGCCCAACAGCATTGACATCAGTGAAGTTAATCTGGATTTGCACTGGGGGCAACTGAGAGCAGATCTGGCCCACTTCTGCATAAACTGTGTTGTCATGGGAAATAACTGACATGGACTGGGAAACACAAACTGAAAGAGTATTTATTGGAGAAACACAGACAATTAATTATTTTGAATAACCTCCCCGCAGTCAGTCTCCTCAATGAAGATTTGATCTCCTTGTTCCTCATGCTGTAGATGACCGGATTCATCACTGGAGGCACCGCAGAATAGAGAGCAGCCACCATGAGATCCGGACCTGATGCTGAGCTGGAGGTGGGTTTCAGGTAGGCAAAGATGCCAGTGCAAACAAACAAGGAGACCACGGTGAGGTGAGGAAGGCAGGTGGAGAAGGCTTTATGCCGGCTCTGCTCAGAGGGGATTCTCATCACTGCTTTGAAGATCTGAACATAAGACACAATTATAAAAACAAAACATCTTAAGACTATGCAAGCACTAAAGCTGAGAGCCCCAATTTCACTGAGGTTCCAGTCAGAGCAGGCGAGCTTGAGGAGCTGGGGGATTTCACAGAAGAACTGATCCACCATGTTGTCTGCACAGAAAGTGACTGTAAATGTGTTCCCGGTATGCAGTGTAGAGTAAAGTATTCCACTGATCCAGGCATTGACTGCCATTTGGACACAAGTTCTCCTGTTCATCACTCTCTCGTACTGCAGTGGTTGGCAGATGGCGACGTATAGGTCATACGGCATGATGGTGAGAAGGGAAAAATCTGCTCCCATCATGAAGTTGAGGAAAAAGACTTGGGCAACACATCCAGCGTAGGAAATTGAGCTGGAGTTGATTAGGGAATTGACCGTGGATTTGGGGATGGTGACAGAGATGGAGCCGAGGTCTATAATGGACAGCTTCACCAGGAAGAAGTACGTGGGGGTGTTAAGATGGTGGTCGAGGGTTACGGCTGTGATGGTGAGAGAAGGTTGCCCATCAGGGCCGCCAGGTAAATCACCACAAAGTGCAAAATCTGCAGCTCCCGAACATTAGAGAATCCCAGGAGTAGAAACTGGGTCAAGGTATTTTGGTTGGACATTTTCTTCCTCAGAACATCGTGTGCTGCCTCTGGAGGGAAGGAGAAGGGCAATGGTCAGGATTACATCAGTAAAATAACTCTCCTTTTGTGAAAACCACCTTAATTCACTTGAGTCAGACCCTTGACTTGTGAAGATCTGTGTAATATGGGAAGGGGAATTCAGGAACCATTGACTCCAATGGAGTTAGTCCGGATTTACGCTGGGCAGTGAGAGGATAGTCCGGCCCATTGACCGAATGAAATCGCTACTGATTTACACCAAGCTGAAGGAAAACAGAGTAAGGACCAACTGCTTTGTAGGGGTCTGTAAACCTTTCCACTCAGAGAAGTATAAAGTTTGCTGAATCTTATCTTCATTTCATAGAGGGGAAAATGCAGACCAGAGAGCTAGAATCTGAAGTCAGATACACCAGTGTAAATCTCGGGTAATGTCACTGAAAGCAGTGGAATTACTTTGCATTTACATTGCTGCAAATTGGAATAGCATCTACCACTGAGGTGAAAGAGCTCACCCACGGCTATACGACTGAGCTGTAGAATCAGGAATAGAATGCAGGATGAGTCCTGAATCCCAGTCAGCTGCTCTAGCGATGACCCAACACTATCTACCCAAAACAGAGAAAAAAAGGTTTCCAGGCTGCTTTCTCACTTCTATAACCAGGGCCAGCTCCAGGCACCAGCTTCTCAAGCAGGTGCTTGGGGCAGCTGCAGCACGTCCAGCTATTCAGCGGCGGGTCCCTCACTCTGCCTTGGAGCCAAGGACCTCCCGCTGAATTGCCGCCGCAGATCACGATCGCGGCTTTTTTTTTTTTTGGCTGCTTGGGGCGGCCGAAACCCTGGAGCCGGCCCCGTCTATAACCTATAGAACCCCAGTGCTCTCTCAGAAGGGGGATTTGAACCCAGGAGTCCTAATACTGCCCAGCCCCTCCCATAGTCATAGAATATTAGGGGTTGGAAGGGACCTCAGGAGATCACCTAGTCCAACCCCCTGCACAAAGCAGGACCCATCCCCAGACAGATTTTTACTGCAGTTTCATAAATGGCCCCCTCATGGATTGAGCTCACAACCCTGGGTTTAGCAGACCAATGCTCAAACCACTGAGCTATCCCTACATACATGCTGAGCCCAGCGCTGGGAATAGAACCAAAAAGTTCTGACTCCAAACCACCCACCCTAATCACTACACCATATCATTCCACTGTTAAAAAATGTAGCAATACTGCACAGTGCTCTTAATAGCAGTAAGATCAGTAGTACATAAGAACAGAAGAATGGCCATATTGGGTCAGACCAAAGATCCATCTAGCCCAGTGTCCTGTCTTCCTACAGTGGCCAATGCCAGGTGCCCCAGAGGGAATGAACAGAAAGATAATCACCAAGTAACACATCCCCTGTTGCCCATTCCCAGCTTCTGGCAACACAGGCTAGGGACACCATCCCTGCCCATCCTTGCTAATAGCCATTGATGGACCTTTCTTCCATGAATTTATCTAATTCTTTTTTGAATCCTGTTATGGTCTTGGCCTTCATAACATCCTCCAACAAAGAGTTCCACAGGTTGACCGTGCGTTGTGTGAAAAAAAACATCCTTTTGTTTGTTTTAAACCTGCTGCTTATTAATTTCATTTGGTGATCTCTAATTTTTGTGTTATGAGACAAGGAGTAAATAAAACTTCCTCCTTTACTTTCTCCACACAAGTCATGATTTTATAGACCTCTATCATATCCGCCCCCAGTCATCTCTTCCAAGCTGAAAAATCCCAGTTTTATTAATCTCTATTCATATGGAAGCTGTTCCATACCCCTAATCATTTATGTTGCCCTTTTCCAAAACTTTTCCAGTTACAATATATCTTTTTTTGAGATGGGGAGACCACATCCGCCTGCAGTATTCAAGATCTGGGTGGGCCATGGATTTATATAGAGACAATATGATATATTTTCTTTTATTATCTATACTTTTCCTAGTGATTCCCAACATTATGTTAGCTTTTTGACTGCCGCTGCACATTGTGTGGATGTTTTCATTGAACTATCCCCAGTGACTCCAAGATCTCTTTTGATTGGTAACAGCTAATTTAGTTGGGATTATGTTTTCCAATGTGCATTACTTTGCATTTATCAACATTGAATTTCATCTGCCATTTTGTTGCCCACTCACCCAGCTTTCCAAAGGTTCTTTGTAACTCTTCGCAGTCTGCTTTGGACGTAACTATCTCTTGCCACCTCACTGTTTACCCCTTTTACCAGATCATTTATGAATATGTTGAATAGAACTATTCCCAGTACAGACCACTGCAGGACACCATTATTTACCTCTCTCCATTCTGAAAATTGACCATTTATTTCTACCCCTTGTTTCCCTTCTTTTAACCCCTTACTGATCCATGAGAGGACTTTCCCTCTTATATTATGACAGCTTACTTTGCTTAAGAGCCTTTGGTGAGGGACTTTGTCAAAGGCTCACTGAAAATCTAAGTACTCTATATCCACTGGACCTCCCTTGACCACATACTTGTTGACCCTCTCAAAGAATTCTAATAGATTAGTGAAGCATGATCTTCCTTTACAAAAATCACATTGATGCTTCCTCAATCAATCATGTTAATCTAAGTGTCCAATCGTTCTGTTCTTTTCTGTAGTTTCAACCAATTTGCCCGGTACTGAATTAAGGTTTACCAACCTGTAATTGTCAAGATCACGTCTGGAGCCTTTTAAAAAAATTGGTAGCACATTACCTATCCTCCAGTCATTTGGTACAGAAGCTAATTTAAATGATAGGTTACAGACTACAGTTAGTAGTTCTGCAATTTCACATTTGAGTTCCTTCAGAACTCTTGGGTGAATCCCATCTGGTCTTGGTGACTTATTTATGTTTAGTTTATCATTTTTTTTCTAAAACCTCCTCTGATGACATTTCAATCTGAGACAGTTCCTCAGATTTGTCACCTAAAATAATAGAAGAATGCCGCAGGATCAAGTTCCAGTCAAGATCAGGGTGCCACCGAGCTGGGCTCTCTTGAATTGTCCTGCAGTTTACTTCCTTTGATATCAATGATGGTCTGTCTTGTGTATGAACTGCAAGATTTAGCACCATCCTTTTCTTTCTCCCTTTCCCTCCCACCCAATCAATTAATGCATCAACAAGGAAGAAGATAAATGAGATTTCAGAAGGACTAATGAATACCCATTCCAGAACTCTCATATCCAGGGTCACCCAATCCATCCCCCTGTTAATGTCATTGGGGTACACAAAATATTATTTGGCATTTGGGTATTGATTGACATTATCCTAGGTGGGACTGGTAATGCTGCCTCATTAATGTTGCCTGACACTTCTCTTTATAAAGCCCTGTTTTCTGTTGCTTATAGCTTTACCAAACTTTAACCACTGAAGTTGCTATTTTCTATGTCAGGTGTCTAGCTCAAAACACTTGAGACATTTCCAAGAATGAAGCCAAGGGAAAATATGCTGTTCTGCTCATTTTAAGCTCTAGTGTGACCAGGCTTTGGAGACTGGACTTGACATTTGGCATGAGGAGTCATTTTATAAAATAAAAAAGGTCAGATAAAAATAATCTAAAATAAGATATAAACTAAAAAATAAAATATTGAAAATTGAACAAAATGCTTCAATTTTACTGACATGTAATATTTGAACTGACACCGAAATTTTAAAAAAAATCATTTCAAGGGAAATTTTGAAATTTGATTACAATTTGGAATGAAAATAAATTTTCAAATCACAGCCTATCCCATGAAATGGACTTGCTGGTTCCTGGCCAGCTCTCTAACAAAGCAATTAGATGCTGTACTGATGAGCAACATAGAAAATGGCAAGATAAAAATCAATTATTTTGTCTTTGGAGCAAGGTTACTGTAGTGTGTGGTGAATAAGGCCAGGGGCCACACACTGAAGAATGAGGAGCAAACAGAATACTGAAAAGCAGCTTACTCAGTGAGCCCTGTCCATCCTGTGCACTAAACATGGCAGTGGTCCTGTGGAAAATGTAATACATGGTCGTGTAATTAAAGACTGCATTATAACTTCATTGAAGAGGAACCAACATTTGTTTGTTGGAAACTAGACCTAACTGGTGGACAATATAATAAGCCAATGGGGTAGTCTGACCATAATCCCATTTTGTGGTCCTTAAAAAGATGGGGGGCTCAATTGGGGAACAGGCTCTTGGGAGATTACCAGGGGGACAGACTGACAGGCCTTTCCTTCAACTCCAGAGACTCTGTCCTTTGGTCATGAGCCCTTGTACAACCAGACCACAGCTCACCAGTGGATACGCCGGGCCATCAGTGCTGGACCAGTGATGATCACAGATTGATAGATGTGAGCTCCTGCTCTTGTTCCCCTCCATTTCCCTCCCCCACTATCATCCTCTCTGTCGGCTTTTCACCTGATCCTGAAACCAACTGCACCATACAGCATGAGCACAGTGAGCTGAGATGGCCCATCCAGCTGGGCCCAGGCTGACAAGGATCAGCAAAGAATAGAGACCTGACCAGACCCACCATGTGACATCCCAGACCAGGAGAGTGAGCCAGAATCCAGAGCAACAGTTGTCCTGGCTGACCTGCCACCAACCCAAAGCATCCATCTGTGACGGGGCAGCCACCAGCTATGCTGAGATGTATTTTTCCTACCTTTATTATCCTATATCTTCTCCTTGCTAGGTGTGAAGGTAGTGAAGTTTTCAAGATATCTAGAGAGACATATGTGCAGGAGGAGTCAGCGGTCATGGTACATGTAGGTACCAATGACATAGGGAAAGGAAGGAGAGAGGTCCTGGGTGCCAAACATAGGCTATGGGTAAGAGATAAAAGTCCAGGAGGGCCATTGTAGCATTCTCTGAAA